GTACAGATAGTGGGGGACTTTTGATGCCAGGTGAAGTTTGCTTTTTCTTTGGTGGACAGTGAGAGCCATGGAAGGTTTTAGAGGAGGAGAATCACGTCATGAGACCCATGTTAGGGGTGTGCCTTAGACACGCTTGTGCGGTTGCCCTGATTGTATACGTGTCTCCATTGGGCTGGAAACCCCCAAGAGCAGGGTGGGCCTCACCCACCTGCACAGCCTAGACCTGGCACAGGGATGGCAGAACATGGGGGTGTTCCACTCTTGGGTGAACTGTCAGGGAGCTTTCTGAACAGAAGGTGAGGGGAGCACAGAAGACAGCTTGAACGTGGGTGAGAGGGCTCTCCAGTCACAGGACTCCATGCGAGGAGACTCCATTTTCCCAACTGTAAAATGCAGACAATGGCTCCTGCCTCCAGATGTGGTGGTGACACTGACATCAAAGGCTGACTCGGAAAAGGTGATGCGGATTCTTAATTTCCACTGTCCACTTCCAGAAAGGGCATGAGGTACGTGCAATACCATGTGCGGAATCCAGAAGACAAAGGAAACACAAGGGAGCCAGCTGTGGGGTCACCACTGCTTCCAGCCTGGCTGGGCGATGTGTTTGCTGCAGGAGGGGTCAGGCCCTCCCCTCAGAGCAACCAGTGTTAGGTGATAAATTAGAATTATGGAATATCTAAATGGAGGTGACCCCAGAGGTGTGTAAGTCAACAGCTCCATGTGTAGATGGAAAAGCCGAGGCCCAGAGTGGGACAGTGACTTGACCAAGGTCACACAGCAATCTAGCATTAGCAGAGACTATAACTCAGGCCTCTGACCCTTAGCTCAGCATTCTTCCCTCTTGTCCCCAGGCCTCGGGCAGCCCACCCTCTGACAGGGCACCATGATGCCAGGCCAGGCACTGGGTGCCAGCACTTGGTGCTACATGGACTTGTGCCAGGTGGTGGGTAAAGCCAGGCTCTGGTTCTGGAGAAGCTCAGGAAGTCACTCCTTGCTGGACAGAGTCCCTTCCCCGCCCCTCTGGAAAAAGACCGTGGCCCACCTAGATCTGGCAGGAACCCCAGCCAGGTGGAAGCAGAGAAGCGGTGGGAGGCCAGGCCTGGGCCAGCAAGGGCTGGGGACCCACCTGACTGCACAGGTGCCCCCTGCAGGGACAGGAGGGTGAGAGGACAGGCTCTAGTTCCTGTCATCAGAGTGTGTTCCAAGGACCAGCAATAACAGCATTACTGGGAACTTGTCAAAAGCAAAGTCTCAGGTCTCACCTCCACAGACCCCATCAGAGTCTGCCCTTAAACAAAATCTCCAGGAGATCCGTGTGCACATCAGAGTTTAAGAAGCACCTGTCTAGTCCACCCTTGCCATTTAACAGACAAGAAACCTGAGCTCTGAGGGGGTGGGATGGGGCCACTGGAGGCCACGCCTCTGCATACCTCTGTCTCCCGCAGCCTGGCCTCCAGGGCCGCGCGGGGCCCCTGCGTGTTGTCATTGACCTGCAGCTGATCCTGCACAGCCTTCATCCATGCCTGGGCATCCTCCACGCTCCTGTCAAAGTCCTCCTGGGGCTGCTGAGTCATGGCACCTGCAGGGACTGAAGAAAGGGCCACAGATCAGGCCGACAGGCAGGGGTGCAGGGGCTGCGGAGAGACCCCGGCAGGACACCTGGGACAGGCCCACTCCCACCACCAACGCCCTCCTGGTGCTCCCAGTTGGGCAATTCGGCCAGAGGTGAGCGTGTCTGTCAGGACTGCAATTAGGCAGGGAAGGAAAACAGGTCTGCTGTCTGGGAGAAGCGGCCCAGGGCTCTAGCCTGGAAAACAGCTTTCTCTTCGGGCTCCTCACTTCCCTGCTTCCTCTTCTCCCAGCTTGGGGCTCAGAGGCATCTCTCGTCTGTCTATTCATATTGCACACTCTCCAACAGAGCATCTCCAAACCTGCTGTCTGAGATGTCAGGACCCAGAACGATGTTGATTTGAGTGGATCGCAGAGGGAACACAGCTCTGGGTGTGGGCCAAGCCGACACACACCCTGAGTTCCCCCTGAGATGAACCTCTCAAGCTGGGGATGGCCGTGTTAGGTGCATGCGGTCACCACTGCTCCACTGACCTGAGATCATGGGTGGGTGCTGCTAAAGTTTCCCTCTGAGCCGCCCACCCCTGACCTCCCCGGAGCACTCCCAGCAACCACTGACAATGAACTTAACGCTTGAGAAGCAACCCGCTTCCAGCCGACCCTAGGTAACACCTGCCTGCTGGCACATGCCACCTGCCAGGGGACCCCTTTGCAAACCGTGCACTTGACTTCCCCTGGACTATGCTGCAAAGTCTTGGATTTTCTCCCGTGACTTAAAACTCCATCAAGCCCAGGCATTCCAGTTTCAGCTGTCTGCGTATAGCAACTGTGTAACTGCTTTGAACGAAAGTTATTAGCGTCTGCATTTTATTTAAAGGGATTGTGTCTGGTTTATCCTCCAATCTCCCACAATGCCTTGTGCAGAGTAAGCCCAATGTTGTTTGCTGAATGAGCCCAGAATGGATATAAGGTTTCACGCATTGGAAAACTCAACACAGCATTATTTAAAAAAGCAAAACGAAACCAGAAACAACCCACATGCCCAATTATAGGGGATTACTTAAGTAAGTTAAGGTACACTTGCACTTTAGAATCTTATGCAGCCCGCAAAAGGAGGCTTAAAATGAATATGTGACAGGGAATTTTTAGGATATAATGGCAATACCAAAAAATGAGACAAAATTATATATTAAGTAGTCACAACTCTACAACTAGTAAAGCAAAATGAAACATGAACAAAAACTACACTCATAGAAAAAGGCTGGGGCTGGGCATGGTGGCTCATGCCTATAATTCCAAAACTTTGGGAGGCTGAGGCAGGAGGATACCTTGAGCCCAGAAGTTCCAGAAAAAGGCTGGGAAGTCTTGCCATTAAAGGGTCTATGTTATCAAGCCAGCACTGTGTGCAGTGGCCTTAGCCTCTCCCAGACATGGCTTTTAAGCACATCCCATAGGACCCCCCAGGCCTCTCCCTCTCTCCCTGGCACGAGGGGAGAGGCTCGGTGACCTTGAAAGCTACTTGGTTGAGGGTGATTGTCTGTGGTGGGTAGGACCACCGCTGGAAGGTTTTTTCCCTTGTTTTTTCTTAGGCACTTAGAATTTACATCACATCACAATTTTTATTACATCACAGTAAAAATCATCGTGATTAAAAATAAAAATCGTCTTCAGTCGTGAGTTGGTGAGGCCATCTGTTTGCTACGCTTTGGCTTTGCCTCATGTGTAATTGAAGGAATTACCATCAGCTCAATGAGCAGCTACTGGGAGCCTGGGCCCTCTCCCCAGGCCCTGCCCAGGGCCAGAGGAAGCTTCAAGGGAGAACCCACCAGAGAGAAGGAGGAAATGGAAGGGGCCATCAGACTGCTGGGCCAAAGGAGGCAGACTGGCCAGGGCAGGCGGGTGGCCTAGCGGGCTGTGCTCTGGGAACCCGTCCTCTGATTCTCCCAACGAGTTGTTTTTCTTTCAGAGCTGTTTTGATCTTTTTCTAACAACTTAATATGTTCCCTGTAGCCACTCCCTGCCTTTGAAAGCTTCGCTTGAAAAGCACATCAGATGCGCAAGCGTTTAAATTGATTTGTCGTGGCTCCAATTTCTTGGCTAGTGTGTGACTGGCTTCCAAAAACTTGGCTTTTATTGTTATTAAGCAAGGAATGGGAGAGGCAGAGCCGAGTCTCAGATGACAGGACGGTGGGGAATCGCAGCTCTGATCACCAAGAGGCAGCGAGGCTTTGGAGCACCCTTTTTCTTGGCAATGCCCATGGCCTGTGAGGCTCAGTGGCTGGTGTCAGGAGGGTACAGCAGATGAAACCCAGGGACCCAGTGGGGTGGAGCAAGTGGGTGCTTCAGACCAACCAAGCTGTGGGCTGGGAGAGGCTGCAGGTCAAGTTCAGGAAACCTGAGCCTCCTCTTGGCCAATTCTGACTATTTTGTGTCAGTTCAATGAAATATAGGACTTAAGCACATGCTAAGAGCCAGGCCTGATGCTGCGACCACAGCATCACATAGAGAGACAGCAGATGCTATCCTACTCTAAAGAAGCTCTCAGAGGATGAGGAAGCTGCGCGATGAGCACACGTGTGACTGCAGGTGGATGAGCTGCAAGCCGGGGAACTTTTCCCTGAGCCGCTCCTCAGAGTAAGGGCTTTAAATGCCAAGAATAAAATGCAAAGAATTACAAAGGAAATGGATCATGTTAAAACCTAGTTACCAAATACTAAAAATCAAATGTCATGAGATACCAACACTCGCTTGCCTCTCTCTTAACACATTAAATCACAAGATTTAACAGTAGGCCTAATAGCTACTGTAATTTTGAAATAGTGCTGAGCATAAATGACATTTCAAGATATCTGCAATGACTGTGAATGCCACCCAAAATTACACATGACAAAGCTCCAGGCGTCATGAATACCAGAGAGGGCTTCGCTTTGGCTTCGCTTCACGCGTAATTGAAGGAAATACTATCAGTCAGAGGTGCGCAGCAATGAGGACATAGCTAGCTTCCTATCCAGGTTCGTAGGCTCCCGAATTCTAGCTGGAGGCCCCTGTCGGTCCATGGACCCCAGGGAGGAGCTCTGCTCCAGGCCTTCTAACTGCCAATCAAAAGGAGAGCCTGTTCCCTCAACAAAGTTGAAATATCTGGGGCCGGCACCATGGCTCATGCCTGTAATTTCAGCACTTTGGGAGGGTGAGGTGAGAGGATCACTTGAGCCCAGGAGTTTGAGACCAGACTGGGTCTCAAACATAGTGAGACAGCCTCTCTACAAATAATTTAAAAATATTAATTAGCTGCACATGATGTCGCACGCCTGTGGTCCCAGCTACTTGGGAGGCTGAGGTGGGAGGATCACTTGAGCCTGGGAGGCTGAAGCTGCAGTGAGCCTGCACTCCATCTGGGTGATGGAGTGAGAATCTGTCTCAAAAAAAAAAAAAAGTTTCCAACATTAAAAAGCAACCAAGTGACATCCATAACTGATTTAACAAGAAAGACACTCTTCCCAGGCACCTGTCACTGGAATCTCACCAGGGAACCTCATGGGCTGGTCCCTTGTGGAAGCCAGGGGTGAAGGTGGAGTCCTTGGGGACAGTGAGGTGGCTGGGTGGGTGAGGACTGCCAGACCCTCCCTCAGAGAGAGGGCAGCAACATGTCCTTTGGTGAATGAAGGCACCTGGTCCTCAGGGAACCCTAGCGAGCTTCTGGTCCTCTTCCCATCCCTCCCAGCGGCAGTCAGGGGGACTTCCTTTTTTTTTTTCTTTTTTTGAGATGGAGTCCTATTCTGTTGCTCAGGCTAATGTACAGTGGCACCATGTCGGCCCACTGCAACCTCTGTCTCCCGGTTTCAAGCAATTCTCTTGCCTCAGCCTCCAGAGTAGCTGGGATTACAGGTGTGCACCACCACACCCTGCTAATTTTTATATTTTTAGTAGAGACAAGGTTTCACCAGATTGGCCAGGCTGGTCTCGAACTCCTGACCTCAGGTGATCCATCCTCCTCAGCCTCCCAAAGTGCTGGGATTACAGGCGTGAGCCACTGTGCCTGGTCAGGACTTTCTAAAACAATCCAGCAGGTCACAGCCCCACTTAACAGATCTGTCACAGCACAGTCTTCCAACCGGCCCGAGGCCACCCTGTGTCAAGTCTGCGTCTTCCTGCATCCCTCCTCACAAGCCGCCAGCGACAGATGTGCCATTCTCAGCCAGTAGCTTCCCCTCTGCCAGAGTCAAGCCCATCGTCTCTCTGAGGAGCATGTCCCCTCCCCAGCAAATCGCTGTCTAGTAAGGAAGCCCAGGGCCCCTGTGCCCGCCCCACGCTCTCCTGTGCAGGCCAGTCTCCCCACCTGCCTGTGCAGGGCCGCAGCTCAGACCGATGCACCCTGGGCCTCTCGAGTCAAGCTGACATCCCTTCATGAATGTTGACTGAAGGGACAAATGAGCAGATGAAGTCCCCTGCAGTGCTGGGTCGGGAGAGGGGTAGGGGCTACCTAAATGCCCGGGTATGGCTGAGGTGGGGAAGATGGGAGAAAGCCCTGAACCTGGAATCTGGACATTGGCCCTGGGCATGAACCTTTGCGTCTCTGGGCCTCAGCTTCCCCAACTGCACACTGAGTGTTGAACAGGAAGTCTCTGAGGGACCTCTGAGGTTGTGGGTTGAAAGGGTCGATGCTACCATGACCCCTGCAAGCCTGGGGACCAGCCGGACTGCTCTGGGCCCTGGCTCCCTTTGTCTGCCTGTGGGACGCGTCCTCAGCCAGCCTAGAGCAGTGCTTCCTGCATCACCACTCCCTCTAAGGCAGGCCGAGGTAAGCCAGCCTCCCATGGCCATTGCACAGCCACTAGTCACTCCCTGAACCCCTTCCAAGGAAGAATGGTCTGGGGACGCTGTGCATTGGCAGGGGTATAGGGGCACACTCTTCCTGGAAAGGGTCAGGTAGAAGACAGCTGTCTCAGGCCACATACAGTGTCTGTCGCATAGTCTTCTTTGTTCTTACAACCCTTTAAAAATATCAGAACCATTCTTAGC